GGAATTTGCAAAGAAAATTAAGTATGCTATTTAGTTGAGCTTAAAGGTAGTACTGGAGACTACACGGTGTACATAGTGCATATACACATTAGATCACAAATTATTTAAATAATGATAATACAACTACTTTTTAATTTCTCATTTAAATTATTGAGATATTTATAAAAACAGATTTAGAAGGAGTTGGTTGTAATCATCTAACTGGATAAATTACATACAACTAATAACCCTCAAACTGGTTATGGTAATTGCCAGTGTTATTAAGTCCTTGTACTTCTATAATTTAGATTTATAAAGAAATTTAATTTCTATTTTTGTTGTGTATATTGTTTTAAATTTTATCACAATTGTCTGTTGAATTGTATATTGTTTAACTATGTATACCAATTCAATATATTAAATTATATTAGTTRTTATTGATATAACATGAAATGCTACAATCATGTTTAACAACTTACCATTTTTATATAATATGTTTTGATAAATATATTTTCATATTACCACAGAATATATTAAATTTAATCTATTCTGTGTTATTACTTTGAATYAAAATAAGGTATTCACTTGTGGTTATTAAATTGTGACAACTGACAGTAGTCCACTGAATAGCAAGGATAACCAAAAAGTACTAAACAATTTTATAGTTTGGGAATTTCCTTGACGCGGATATGACACGGTTTATTTATAATGCTTATTAATAGTGCAAATAAATAAGATACATTATCTTGAGCATATTCAATGTGTGCATACTTAATAATCCCAGCACTTAAAATAAATTATTTTATCAATGTCAAAATTAATAATTATCATCATAAAAAAAATTAATACATGAGTAGTTAAATACATAAAATGAAGCGTTTACCATGCTTTTTATTTTTTCATAAATAATATAATACAAATTGTTCACACTTAAATCATAAGGTGATTACACTCACATAAATAAAAAAAAAAAACAATTTTGATATAAAAAATATGCGCTACATAATAACGTTGATTATGTAAGAAATAGTTTAAATTAAGTAGCTATAAATGAGTTAAGTCATAAATAGGTTTACAATAATAATGTCTATGAGTGTATCTAAATCATATAACAGTAATAAAATGAGATTCAGTTCGAAAATGTCCACTTAATAAAAAAAAGAACAAGCATCGAATCAATATAAAATTGTAAATGAATAATAGTAATTTGATACTTGTTTGATAGATTGCTGTTCACTTATCTTTTGCTAATTTCTACTTTTACGCCTGAAAACCATTAAAACCATATAAAATTAGAAAAATTATCATAATTKTCCGAGTGTTCACTCGGGTAAAAACATTTCATTGGAATTTAAGAAAACAGTGATATTCAATTCTTAGAAAACAACACTGGATTTAAACCATGAAGTAAAATGAGCAAAATAATAATAAATAAATAAAAATGTATGTACTTTCAATGATTTCCAATTTCATTCTGTTCAATTCTTTGCGTATTTCACGTAGTATATCTTGTTTTAATGTCTGTAACTCTAATGATATATTTGATATACAATTGTCTCCAAAAGACTTAGATGCAATCAAGTCTTCAGTGGAAGTGGCAGACAATTGTTTTCGGCCAAGTTTAGGACTTTCACAACCATTTAATGAGCTTTTTTGACTATCGTTACGACTCCAATTTTTTTTGTCGCCAGGTGATACACTTTCATCCTATAGAGAAAAATTTAAATAATTACAGTATGGCAAAAAATTTTTAACATGTATGGACAATATGTTGTAAAATTTATTAAGCACAGATGYCTATTAACGGGAAATTATAATTGTACACACTACAAAAGTATCAAAGGTAAGGACATAATTTTGGGTAGTTAACTAATGGTGCCCTTAAAATATAGCTTCATGTAAAATAATAATATTCAAATTGTTGTTAAGATAATACCTAACCTATAATACTTACTTGAGGACAATCAATTGGTTCTTTCTTTTCAACAGCAGCTCGACGTCTTGCTAATGTACGTGCCATTTCATCCATCATTGATGCCATACCAGTTTGGCCACCGTTAGCATTTCTACCAAGGGTCCCGTAATTTCCACTTCCACCACTGCTAGCACTACTCGTAGACGAGCCACTATTTTCGGCTGGATGCTGCTTTAGTGTTAATAAAATCAAAGGACATCAAAATTAAATTTTATCTCAGACATACGGTTTTATTATATAATTACATACCTTATTGGTACGTTTTAAGCGAGCTGCTTGTAACTGTATAGCTAATGAGGATGTCTGATCAGCAACAGATTCGCTGTGATCAACTTCTCCATTACTACTAGGTCTTGGTAGACTGCCAGGCATTGGAGGAGGTTGAGGAGGCAATGGGCTAGACATACCTGGTGGAGGAGGGGGAGGAACTGGTGCTGGCGGAGCCGATGATGTGCGATGGTGGCCTGATGAAGGCAACTGAGGAGGTGCAGGTGGAATGGTTGGTAAGCCGTTTGTTGTACTAACGACTAAAATAATACAAAATTATTTTTATTCCATAAAATATATAAGTCTTTGATTATAACTAATAATACTAGTTTTAAGAAAACATTTTAATTAAATTATTTTCAATAATTGCAGCTTACTTTGATTTTGCTGAGACATTCTCCTCTCTTGGATAATTGCAGCATCGTCTTTCGTCATACTTCTGAAATGATTAGGTACATTATTTGTACACCAATCTCTGAGTTAAATAAGTAATTAGATACAGTAATTTATTGGATCTATAAAATACGTTTATGACAATACCTGTATCCCATATCTTCATCATACTGTCCATTTGCTTGTTGATATATAGGAGGTGCTGGAGGTGGTATATGATTATGAGGATTATTAATATTATTTCTGGATACAGAATCTAGAACCTAAATTTAAGAAATGCTTAATAAACCTTTTTGTAACTTTAATCCAATAATTTAGTACAGTTATGTCAAATACCTCAAGAGCATACACCATAGCTCGTGCAAAAGAATCAGCATCTTCTTTGCTACTAAAATTCAAACCATATACATGTTTATTATCTCTCCATTGGTGGAATGTTGTTGTTGCTTGATTATATTTAAGAGTCTTTAAAATGACACAGTTAATAACAACCTGTATAACACATTAAAACACAAACATATTTTTAAAGAAATGTGATTTGATGCAGAGTAAAAAAGAAATTCTATTAAGCAGTGTTAATGAATATTTTGATAATTTATTTAATGTAAAGAAAATATATCAAAAATGGATTTAAATTTTAAACGAAAACTAAAACCCAAAATTAGTGTTAACCATAGGCGCAAATAGTGTTTAAGATTTGAGAGGGAGTGGGGCTGAAACTCAGGTACTACTTTTAAGAGGTTTTTCAGGTACAGTAGAACTTTGATTAACCGTCACTGACGTGACCGGRGCTATGACGGTTAATCGAATAGACGGATAACGGAAATTTTGCAAAAAAAAACGTGTATATACATATACACACATTTATTATATTTTTTACGTGTGTGTACTTTAAAAAATGTATGTACTTACATATAACAAATTATAAACATACATACCACACATATTATAAAAAAATCTGTAATTTTAATTTGATTTTTTGACTCTCTATTTTTAGCAGCAATATAACGTATTTGATGTACATATTACAAACTATTTTTATACACTTGATAGTTACTGTGTTGGGCACCATGGCGAGTTTATTGCGATTGTCTAATCGCCTAATTATTTTTATTTTTTTGGCGATGATCGATGACGGATAACAGAGAGTGACGGATAATCGAAGTTCTACTGTATTACCTAATTCTTATAAAAAAAAAAAAATGTTTTCAATATTTAAAATCTAATTTTTTTTTTAACGGGAGAGGAGGTAGACCCGGGCACACCTTAACCCAAATGGCAAATGTTATTTGTATCTATGATGTTAACATATTTTAGGTACCAAAGAAAAATTAACTTTTATATTTTAAATATTAAGCATAACATTTTTAATTTATAAAATTACCTCATGGTCTTGTAGTTTTCTTCCAACTACACGGAATGTATTGTTGATCACATGCTTAAAAATGTGTACTTTACTAAGGCCTGATGATGTTCCACTTGGAACCCATTTTTTGCTGTTGTCATCATAAATCATCACAGATGCCCTGGCTGATGTAATACTTGTTTCACTAAAATGATCAATAAAATAAAACTATTTACAATAGGTACATATTTTTACCTAAATAATAATAGATAGTTTAATTTATGTAGTGTAACCGAAGGTTGATCTTATCAAATTGTATAACTAAGYTATAACGAAACAGTATTAATTGTTATTTAAATTTTTTTTTTCACTTTTAGGTACTTTTTACTTTTGGCAACTACCAACCACATTACAC